AAGAATTTTTTTTTTAAGCACTGCAATTTACAACTAACAAGAAACATTTTTTTGCCCCCACAACAACATTAAACAATTTTATTTTAAATTTGTGTCATGATGACCAGTAAACATCATTGTAAATGGCTATGACCCCACATTTTTCAGTACAGATTCACTATAATTCAGTCCACGTATTCTAGAACGGTCTTCTCAGTGTTCACAGATTTACTGTGCCAAATTATAAAATGTAAAGTTGACACTTCGGGATTACCCTATGGAGGAAGTGTAAATATTTGTCATGGTGAAATAAAACAATGATAATCTGAAACAAAAATACCGGAAATGTTAATACAGTGAGTGTGTCATAGAAATCTACAGCATAGAAAAAAGGTCATTCCGCCCACTGCATCCGTGCTGTTCGAAAACAACCAAAACTGTTCTGATCCCATTTACCACCACTTGGTCCACAACCTCGTATGACTTGGCATTGTAAGTGCTCATCTAAATACTTCTTCAATGTGCTGAGGGGTTCTGCCTCTAACACCCTTACAGACAGTGAATTCCAGATACCCATCACCCTCTGGATGAAATCAATTGTGACCCTACTCTCCCCACCCCACTCCTAGCTCCTTTGCTGCAAGGAAAACAAAAGTCCATCTCATTTCATAACTGAAGTTCTCCAGCCCAGGCAAAGTTCTGGTGAATCTGCTCTGCACTACCTTCAGTGCAAACATATTCCTCCCATAATGCGGATTCCAGAACTGAACACAATACTCCAGCTGCGGCGTAGCCAACAGTGTTTGAAAATTAATACCTTATATGCAAGCCTTTATTATGAAGCATTGGAACTGAAACAACAAAAATTCAAATCAAATGTCACTGAGGCACTCAGCATTCAAAAGCATGAAAGGTGTAAATTTGTAGTAAACACATCAGAAAAAATAGAAATTTATACATTCAACTGTAAGTGAACTTTTAATAGCACTGCAAACCTTAAGCCCCCATGCTTATTAACAAACAACATTTTTTTTGTCTCTTAGCTCCATTTAATCTCTTCATTCTCTCCCTCTGTTTCCTGGGCATGAGTTTTCTTTGAATTAAACCTACTAACTCACACTTGCTAGTTTAGACTCTGGAGGAAGAGGTGTAATTCTAATCCCTCATGAGCTTGGAGGTTGGTCAAAATGTAAAATGTGAAAGATCAATAAAACAAATGCAAGCCTCTGACATCCGTTGGCACAATGGCTAGCATTGCTGCCTCACAGCATCAGGGACCCAGGTTCAATTCCAGTCTTGGGCAACTGTCTGTGTGGAGTTTGCACATTCTCCCTGTGTCTGCGTGTGATTCCTCCCAAGGTCCAAAGATTTGCAGGTTAGTTGGATTGGGCATGCTTAAAAATTGTCCAGGGATGTGTAGGTTAAGTGGATTAGCCATGGGGCATACAAAGTTAGGTTAGTAGAGTCAGTCTGGGTGGGATGCTCCTCAGAGAGCCAGTCTGGACTTGTTGGGCCAAGAGGCCTGTTTCCATACTGTAGGGGTTCTATGAATCCATGTTTCCCTTCAGCTGACTAAACTAGCCTTCTTCCACGTCAGCTAACTCCATCCTCCTCACAGCAGGGAGATGGGGATCAGACACAGAATCAGATCTAACCCCATCTCACTTCCTAACAACACAACTACAGGATCCCTGATGGAGCACTCCCTAACAGACATGGTTCCAAACCTGTTCATTTTATGTAAGAAATTTTTGATTAAAAAAATGGGAGCACAACCACTTGCAAGTCCTGTCCAAATCACACATCATTATACTATGTGTTGTTATTCCTTCACCGTAGCTGCATCAAAATGGCTGAACGGCCTCCTTTTTGCACCGTGACAATTCTGTGACACTCTGGGCAAATCCTGGAACTCACTTCCCAACAGCATTTTTCTGAAGAAGGGTCTAGGCCCGAAACGTCAGCCTTCCTGCTCCTCTGATGCTGCTTGGCCTGCTGTGTTCATCCAGCTCTACACCTTGTTATCTCAGATTCTCCAGCAGCTGCAGTTCCTACTATCTCTCTCCCAACAGCATTGTTGGTGTGTCTTGCATCACATGGATTGCAGGGATCAAGAGGCTGGTTCACCACAGATATCTCAAAGGCCATTAGGGGTGGGTAATAAATGCTGGTCCAGCCAAGTGACACCCATATTCAGTGAAAGAATAAAGCAAGTATACATGGCATTAACGGGGGGATGGGTGGGTATGTTGTTCAGGTTGCCTGTCTTGCTCAGGGATCCCATTGATCCTGTAAAGATCGCCACGTAGAAACGGGCACCTAATTACCACAAAACACCAAAGCAAAGGCTACAAAATGTCTGCGGACAACAGCGAGCACAATTGCAGCCAACTACAAAAACTGAGCCAAAGTCTCATTGTTTGCTGTGGATTTGGTAAAAAAAAAATTGACTTGGATGATGCGCTGAAGCAGAGGAATATAGATACATTACTTGAACCTCTCTTTGTCCAGTCCTGCACAGCAAAAATGGCATGAAAGCTGACGTTGCCCACTGGAATTTCAGAACTAATTAACACAAGTGGTTGATTATTTCCAAAGCAATGTAACTAACTTTGTTCAGGACAATTCTTTGGGGCAAGGGACCTTCGAATATTAATCCTCTGGTTTCCAGTTTGTTTCCACAGGATGGTGTTTAACTACAGGGATGTTGAGAAAACATTCCAATTTTGTTTTATTGGGATAATTCCAAGCTCATTGTAGAAAAACAACACAGACTGCATGGGACTTTCTAGTGAGAGTAATTGAAATCAGATGCACATTCCACCCACATTTGCAAAACAGTGGATTATAGAACAGCATGTGGTCCTCTGTTTGTTTTTGTTGCATTTTGGTGTAATTTTGCAACAATATTGCCATGTTACAATACATAAAATTCTTAGCTTTCAAGGACCAGGTAAATGTGAGGTGCTACATTTTGGAAAGGCAAAACAGGGCAGGACTCTTAGGCTTAATGGTAAGGTCCTGGGGAGTGTTGCCGAACAAAGAGACCTTGGAGTGCAGGTTCATATTTCCTCGAAAGTGGAGTTTCAGGTAACGAAGAAGGCATTTGGTACATTTGCCTTTATTGGTCAGTGCATTACGTATAGCAGTAGGAAGGTCATGTTGTGGCTGTACAGGACACTGATTAGGCCACTTTTGGAATACTGCGTGCAATTCTGGTCTCCCAGCTATTGGAAAGATGTTGTTAAACTTGAAAGGATTTGGAAACGATTTACAAGGATGTTGCCAAGGGTGGAGGGTTTGAGCTATAGGGAGGGGCTGAATAGGCTGGGCCTATTTTCCCTGGAGCGTCAGAGGCTGAGGGGTGACCTTATAGAAGTTTATAAAATCACGAGGGGCATGGATAGGGTGATAGGCAAGGTCTTTTCCCCCAGGGTGGGGGAGTCCAAAACTAGAGGGCACAGGTTTAAGGTGAGAGGGGAAAGATTTAAAAGCAACCTAAGGGGCACCTTTTTCACACAGACAGTGGTGCGAATATAGAATAAACTGCCAGAGGAATTAGTGGAGGCTGGTACAATTACAATATTTAAAAGGTATCTGGATGGGTGTATGAATAGGGAAGGTTTAAGAGAGATAGGGGCCAAATGCAGGAACATGGGACTAGATTAATTTATGAAGACTGGTTGGTATGCACGAGTTGGACCAAAGGGTCTGTTTCTGTGCTGTACATCTCTATGGCCCTATTACCATGAATGAGCTTGTGTTTCACGGTGTGGTAGGAATTATGGGCTTGGCTAACTGGATTTTTCACAGTCAGATTGCCACTCCATTCCTACTTTTATCGCCTGAGAACTGACCTCTGCATTTCTGATGAACAATACTGATCCTAGCTCTTTCGGAAATATGGAGCATATCCGAAATCCACAGGTTCACTTGTAGTGCAGGGTAATTGGAGGAAAGTCAAAC